AGAATCACTGTAAGTGGAAGAGATGACAAAAACAAATAATTGTTTCTTTTTCATAAATAACTTTATGCATTGTGCAATGCCTTATGCAATTTCATTTAGCCAATTTCACTGTTTCCCCATATAATCAGTTAATTAACTTTTGCCTCTGTTTTTTGTGGGGGGGTTTCATAAGAGATTAAACATTTTTTAAAAGTAGGAAAATGTGACTGTAAAATCACAAAAAATTGGCAACTGGACTCAAGTAGGTGTAGTATCACCTAAAAATACTTTTAATTCATTTTAAAATTGACTAGATTCAAGTTGATGGTGTCCCTTTCAGTAAAAATCAAATTTTTGAATCAAAGTCAATAGCAGGACTAGAACTTAAGTTTCTTAGCTTCCCTGAAGGAGCACCAGATTTGTCAGACAGATCAGACCATTGGTCTATCTACAGTAGCAAAACCCTCTTGTTATGCACCTAGTCAATTGTGCAATCTTGTACTCAGTGGTTAAAAAAATACCCTTCATGACCCCCTCAAGTAATCAATTTATGCCCTGAAGCATGAGATTTGATTACCCTCATTATTGTTTTAGCTTGCATGGCTACAAATGTTATTAGCAATCATAAAATTATCTGGTGTTTAAAAAAATGCCCTAGTTTTAAAAAGCCACAGCATTTGACTTAATGACTTCTGAAGACTGAATTCCAAGGGTTGATTGTAAATGTGTAAAATGGTATGTCCTTCTATTTGTTTTAAATTTGCTGCCCTTTAATCTCATTGACTTTCCCCTTGTTCTTATTCTGAAGCAGGAAGTAAGCAGTTTTCATTATGTCCTCCTGTAACTTTCACTATGCCAATCAAGACCCTTATAACTTTCTGCCTTTCAAAGATAAAGGTGAATGCTTTATATTAGCACACATATTTATTTTTAAAAGGAACTCATGAGATGTGCACCAGTCATCACCTTGTTTTCTTTGCTCTATGTTGTACCTCTTTCCCTGTTCCTTCATCTGTGCTTTTCCTTTTAAGATTAAAAGCTCTTAGGGACAGGGGACGTGTCTTTGTATGTGTTTACAGACTTCCTAGAAGATTTTGAGTGCTTCTGTAATATTTTTAATAAGAGCAATAATAATCATTTGAATTGGTATAATGGCTACAATTGAACTGCACTTCATTGGTTACTCTCAAAATTCTGCAATTCATGCGACACTCTGAAATGCTGGGCTGAAATACAATTTCCAGAAAAAAAAGTCATTCTCATAAAACGTTTGTAGGCATGATGTTACTTAAGCCAGCCGATAAACTTCTCCACCACCACTATGTGTTTCTCAGAAATGTTGCTTTTGGGAGTAATACTTCTAGGAATTACATCGAATTGTGGCTATGTTATCAGTAACAAAATGCATTCAGCTGTTGGTGTTCCTACCTACTCATACACCTAAATGTTTCTGAGATTGTTTGCACTCAGAAATACATAATCTTTCTTAACAACTATACATAACAGTTGTGTATATATTGACAATTATGGGCAGAATGATTCCTCCGCCAAAGAAGATATTATCCAGCTGTTCTTTTGACTCAAATACCGAGCACTCACCCTGGGAGCTTGAAGATCCAAGTTCTAACCTCTGACCCTTCTCTATGACTTTGAAAATGGCCTTTTTGAATGATAACTTATTACATGAAAGTACTATCTATTTTTAAAAATAAAGTCAGATATAACTCGACCCTCTAGAGCTCCGGGTTCCTTTGGCGAAACCCTGAGCTAAATTACTCAACCTTTTACTCTGGTATTTGATTTGGGAAGATGATATATATTTAATGTGTACTGTATTTTTAAAATGCAATCAATGGGCAAAAAATCAGCACCTGTGAAAATCAAGCCACTTTTATGTAGGTGTTTAGTATGAACGTCAGAGCCTATATTTAGGCACCTGGGTTTGACAGATTTGGCCAATGTCCCTATCTGTGTCTCTCTAGCCAAATGGATGATATTTTGAAGCACATCTTTTATTTTCAGGCAAGCAATTCAGGGAGAGAGGAACCAGCTGGTTAGAAGTACCCATGTTACTGAACTGTCTTTGTGTTCCTCGTGTGTCTTTGTTTTCCTCCCATATTAAGAATGAATTGAGTGCATGTAACATTTGTTCATTTTCATTATCCACTGAAGTCCGAAGGATGATGGAATACGTCTATTTACACCACATCTAAGAGAAACTGTGGCCTCTAGATAAAAGAGTTTTTCACTAGTGTCTTATCTTAGTATTAGTATCAACATATTTTGCATTATAATTGTAAGCCAATTATTTATTTAGCTTAAGTATTCTTGATTGTTTTACATCCATCTATCTGTTTTTTTCCACAGGCAAGGGAAACATAGGCTGAAACCCAGAAAAATGAGCAAAGGAGTCAGTCCTCTCAGTGAAACTGTGAGTTAACACCGCAAAGCTGGGGCTAGATTAACCAGCCATGCAAGTGAAGCACTGAGAAGTCAGAGAATCAGCCCACTCCTGGCTTCTGCTGTGTATATGAGGAAATGGCTGGTAATGGGTACAGTCTGCTATTTAACTCCAATGCTGATACTGGGCCGTGCGGCTTCACAGTGCATCCATCATTCAGGGCCCTAACAGTGATAGAAAATTGCTTTACTAGTATCACCATTGATCCATTCACATTAGTTTGCAGAGGTTTCTTGTGCATAAAGGTGTGGAGACCCACTGCTGAGTTCTCAGCTGCTTTGGAGAGCAGTGCCATGTCAATGTAACATTTTTTCCCCACTGTGTTTGAACTGAATATACTCACAACCAGCAAATAGACTTAGGGTTTAGCTGTGAAGGCCGGATCAACTGTCCACTTTAGTCAATGGAAAGAATCCTGTTTCCTTTGCTGGGCTTTGGGCAAGGCCCTAATTACAATATTGAATTCCTAGATTTATCTGTGACTTTTACAAGCAACCCAAACTTAGCTCCCTTGCACAGAGGTAGGTTTTCCCCCTCTGCATCTGGTTGTAAATTTCAGCAACCTTATAGTCACAAATTGGCTGAGTTACAGTTACTGAGAAAATTCTGACTGTATATTGGTTGATTTTACATGATTAAAATGTAAATCATAGCACTGACTCAGTATAGATTTTTGCATTCAGTTTCCTTATCCAAAACAAATAAATTATACTACCATCTTTCTTATTAGCTTGCAGAATGTCTCTCCTATTACCTCATTTGATTTATAACATCTTTTCCCAAGCCTAATGTGCCATTTTATTCACTTCCTGTCCAAAAATAATCTCACCTAAACAATTTTGCCTGAGGTGGACAACAATGGTTCCCTGGTGCATCAACACTTTCTAATTGTTACTATTTTAAAAATCTGTAACCCCAGTGGTAATAATCCCCATGAGTCCTACCCCTTCACTCAGTCTGGTGTTTAATGTGTGTTTATGATCATTTTTGTTCATCGCATCAGACAAAGCTCAGAGGGGAAAACATGGAAAGGTCACATTTCCCAGGTAGCAGTGAAGTAGGAAACTGTATGAGAAATCCAAGTACTCACAAAATCCCCTCCCCTCTTTCCTGGGTAAAGTCTTTTAAGAACATGGGTGACAGATTGGTGATAGTTTGTCTTCACCTTCCTGCCAAACACAGGGGAAAATTCAATGTTACTCTATGGAATAAACGGGTTATTCAAGGAAAATACACAGACGTAAAAGGCAACCTTTCCACTCGTTCAATATGTTCCAGAGATTCCAAATGCTCACTAATTCAAAAGAAGTTAATTTGGCTAGGTGGGGAAAAGAAAAGTAGAGGGAGGTGGAGAAAAACAATGCTGAAAGGAGTCTCAAATGATGTGGCATTAATTAACTTTCAGAACACTCTAATTTAAGGAATCTGCGATGGTAATAATTGCTTACCGCACCTGCCTTATATAGGGAGGGTATAAAGTTTTGTCTCTGGTGGAAAACGGAGAGGTCTGATTTAGATGCAAGAAAAGAGTCTGGTGTTTTATTTAGTCCCTTTGATTTAATTAACTTAGATAGTGGGCTCTCTATGACCGCCCTTGGCCCTTCAGTTCCTTATTCCAAGGGTCTTGCCAGTAAAGTGCTCCCCCACCCCACTATTCAACCATTATTTTCCCTTTCTTGATTTTTGCCCCTTTTCTTTGCAGTTTTCTGTTGTGCCATCCATGGTACAGTTACTGAAGAGGGATGAACCACGTGCAGTCAAGAATATGCTATTTTGTCCTGTGTCTTTCCAAAGTGCTCTGTTGGTGGTCTCCGAGGCACCGCATCTCAGGGGCTTCCGAAGGTGGGTCCTTAACACAGGCCCCAAAGGTCCCTGGCTGTGGCTTTCAACTCTTGGCCCCTTATTATCAGAGGGGTCCTGGGGCATCCCCAGCCCCGTGCCCCTCCTCAGCCACGCTCCCTGGGATAGGGGTGCTGAGGGTTCTGCCGCATCCCTGGCTGGAATAGTAATAACAGTCTCCAGCAGCAGCACCCCCACTATAGAAACTGTTCCAGCACCCAGGGAGTTTGGAGTCGCTGTTCCCAGCTCTCCACGCGCTCCCAAGCCTCCAGCGTGGCGGAGGAGGGGGGAGTGGAAAGTGTGAACATGCTGGGACGGCACCCTGCGCTCCTCGCCCTCTGGCAGCTGGGGAAGGAGACGGGAACTTAGCTGCAGCCCGCTGGGAGAGAGGGGTGAGCCTCAGCTGGGGGGAGCCACCCAGCGCTGGAGCCCGGGGAACCCCGCCTCGCTCTGCTCCTGCGTTGGAGAAGACCCCGATCTTCCCACGCGCCCCTGGGCTGGGAGCTGTGCGGCTCGCTCCCCACCTCAAGGGGCTGCCCTGCCGCGGCTCAGCCCTTCCGCTGATCCGGACTGACGCGACCCGAGGGAGCGGCTGCATCAGGTGGGAGCTCCCCACCTGCCTTAGAGTTGGGGAGGGGGGTGGGTCCGGCTGCCTTGCCAACTGCTCCCCACCTTGCAGCTGAATCAGGTGGAGGGGAGGAATCTGCACGCACGCACCCCTTTTTGCAGGGCTGGCTTTTGCTCTGCTGCTGCCCCCGATCCCCCGGGAGGAAGGCAACAGCTTCCAGCTGCGGTAGAGGGGCGTGTGCCGGGGAACTGCAGGCTGCCGCCCCTCCCCGCACCTTCCCCAGCCTGGCTGGGTTGTGCGGGTGCTGGGGAGCGCGAGCTGCTTGGCCAGCCCCAGAGCAGCCGCCGCTCTCTGTGTGTGTGTGTGAAGCAGGGGGGAGATTTGGGAGGTTTAGGGGCTCGTTGCCATGGCTCCCGGGAAGCTCCGCCGAAGGAGATATTGATGCCAGTCACGGAGGGAGCCTTCTTCCTTTCAGTGCGTTCCCCCTTTTTGGTGGGGGGGAAGGCGAAGCGATTAATTCGGAGCGCTGGGACGGGGGAGCCGCTGCCCAAGAACCGCAGCTCCAGCCGGGCGCTTCTCCCTTTCCCCTGCGAACTCCGGGCTCTACCCAGCGAGGGACCTTAACCACCAAAAAGCAAGCCCCCTCCCCGCCCGCCCTGAGCTGGAACCAGCAAGCCCAGGTACTGGTTGGGTAGACGTGTGGTTGGATGAGGGTAGAAGGTGGGAAGTGGGGTGGGAGGGGGTATTTTTCTTTGATAGGGGGTTGAGGCCAGTGGGTTTCTTGCTGGCAAAAAAGCCGCTCTGCCCAGGGGAAACATCAGATCCGATGTTGGGGTGGGGGGAGGCAAGGCGATAGTGGGAAGCTGAGGCAGACATGCTGAGGCAGGGGGTTTAAAGGGCTCGGAAAGCAGCTGATTGCACTGAAACCTCATGCCTACGTGTGTGTGTCAAGCAGGCTCTCCCTGGAGCAGAGCGGCTGGGCTGGAGTTAAACCCCCAACAGCGGCGTAGCTTTATGGATGTGCCTAGTCGCTGGATGCAAACTGCAAACGCTTTAACGCTCGGTGGAGCCTTGGAAAGTACCCAGGGAACTCAGATCAGTACTATTGTGCGAGGGAGCTGGGTTGGCAGGTCTTAATTGAGCTCTGGAATCTTTTTGCTCTTTGGCTTCGCTTCACAGTGCCTCTAGGACAGAGATCGTCCCCCTCACACGTGTTTTGGGGAGCAAGATCCCAATTAGTCCATCACGCATTTTCTGAGTCCGAGGCATTTTGAGATGGTCTGTCCTTATTGTTCAGGCAGTTTTGATGCAGTTTTCTTAAACGCATGCTGTGACACACCGTGCAAAACTGTTGTCCAGCGAAAGTTTGCACTGCAGGGAAATAAGGGGAAACTTTCAGCAGAAATAGCAGGCGAAGAAGAGAAGATCTGTTTGGTATCTGTGTAACTAAGATCACAAACACAAATAGCTTGAGGTGACTTAGTTTTAGGATTGTTTCTTCTGAATTCACATTGTTTTGTGAAAGTTCAAGTTTGCAAGCCTCAATTTCAGTTTCCGTTGGGGTTATATATTTTCAGATTCTTGTGGTGGTGGTGGGGTAGGCGGGCGAGTGTCGTTTTTCAGTAGTCATCTCTTTTTCTTACAAATATTTAACATCTTTTATTAAAGTTGTGGTAATTCATTTTTGCAGTAAAATGTAGATGAACTCACCAAAAGTAGGGAGAAATGCAAGAACCTATTGGTCTTAGTGATTTATGGTAGTTTAATGGTATTCTCATTGTACAATCCAAGTTATTAATCAAAAGATGCATCTGTTTATAATTTTGATAACCACAAAGTTTTATTTAATAAGTGGTTCCACTTACATTTTCTGATTGCATAATTTCAGTAGGCTTTTATGCAATGTAGTAGAATAAATTAACAAACAGCCCACAGAAGACTTTGCACCAGGAAACAGAAGTTGCCTTTTCACACACAGCTCATCACTAACATTATTTGGGTCCAGTTTTTGACATGACATGTTTTAGACAGGTGGACAGAGAAGTTGTAAAAATCATGTCTGAAAATGCAGTATGTTTTCATACATCATTAATAGATAAAAAGCCATATATATAGCCATATATATTTATTACTAGTCATTAGAAGTAGTGTAATCTGATACATATTGTTGGGAAATTTCTCAATTTGTTTGACTGTGCAGTGCTATTTTATCTGACAAAGTTAAATTATGTTGTTGAAAATAAGTGTTAATGGAATGATATTTGGAAGAACTTCATAAGCGCCACTGAGCACTACTGAATAAATAGTATGAACTGACCCCTAGTGCTCCTCAAAGAGACACATTGTGACTTATACATTTAAAAAATCTCCCTTAAGGAAAAATATAGAATATTCATTTTAGAAGATGGTGACCAAATTTGGAAACATTGGAGCAGTTCATATGATCATTGGCACATTATAACCCATGATCCTTTGCATGCAGATCTTATTTACTTAACAACATATTGTTTCCAAATTTGGTCACCATCTTGTAAAATAAATATATAGAATATTCATTTTAGGGAGGATTTTTTTAATGTGATATATCATTAATGTCCTAATATGACCTTTTGTGGTATCTTCAAAGTACTGAATGATTTGCTCTTAAAAAGGCAATTTGTTTTTAATGAAATTGAAAAGGCTTGTGAATCAAGCTTCTGTATTACTTACTCAAGCAAGGGTCCTTTTGTTGTCAGTGGGAGTTTTGCCTGAGTAAGTTGATTACAAAACCAGGTCCTATGATAACAAGAGCAAGGCATGGGACAAAATAATTTATGCAAGGGAGAAAATAACCAGGATTTGTATGAAAATTCTGGGAAATGTCCATGACCAAAAAATTATAAGCAAATTGGTCTTGTAGAAGTTTTACCATAAATATAAGCGCAGCTTTTACATTCACTGTTTGAAATTTGTAATACAGTACAACATTTTAAACAATCAGAATATGAGGCATTGAATTCTGAAACAGAGACTGAAAGAAAACAGTAAGGATACTATGTTTTCAGTTATGTGCATTTTGATTACAGTTTTATCCTTAACTCACTGACTGTCTATAGAGAAAGTAAATGCCAATAATAATTACAATGTGCCACATTTGTAATTAAACTTAATGAGTGAAGGCATAATAGTACATCCCTTTTTTCCAGAAAGCCCAGAGATAAGCATTCCTTTTAAATGAAAGATTATATTATTCAAAGCCTTTTAGGTCTACCTAGTGTGGTTTGGACTGCAGCCATTTTGTTTGCCATTAAAAATGTAATTTATCACGTATCACTGGAAAAAATAACAAAAGCTAGCTGCAAATTACATATAGTGATGTTTGTGGACAATTGTTTGCATGATAAGGAAGCTTCCTTCTTCATTTTCCCAGTGGGAGAGGATAGTGACTCCTTTTAAGCAGTACTAATTACTCCATTTTATCTCTCATGTGTTACAATGATGTAGTTAGTTAATTAAAGCTTTGCCCATTAGTAGTATGTTAAGAATAATGAATTAACATATCACATTTCATCAAAAGAACATCTAAGTTTATCTTCTAAGAATGAAAGTGTTACTGTGTTGCAGGAAGTCTCTGTGGCATTCCCAAGGAACAAATTTGTTGGAATTCCTTAGCATGGTGCTTCAGAGCCTGATGAATGACTTGAATTGATCACAAACAAGTGACACTGGAACTATTGGTTGCTTAGCAACCCCACATGATTCCACAATTTTCTTCTGGTACTTGTCCACTAACTAGAAAATTCTGTTTTAGTTAAAGAACATTTTTTGCCAGTACAAAAGCCTCACCATAACTAATTCAGATTATATGTTACTAAAAATGATGTGCCTTACTCTAGTATTGAAGCTGGGTAGCAGAATGTGTATGAAAAAGGGGGGAAGGGACAAAAAAACACATTACTACCATTAACTACAAATAAATTGGTTAGTCTCTGAGGTGCCACAAGTCCTCCTTTTCTTTTTGCGAATACAGACTAACACGGCTGTTACTCTGAAACCTGTCATTACTACCATTGCTACTTGGAAACTCAGAATTTGATATGCTCAGTGTTTTATAATAAGTTGCAATTAAATATTTGTCCTTTCTCAGTCAGACATCTGTTGAAAGGAAACCATCAGTGGGAAGCATAATCCCAACAAAGAAATTCATCCACTCAGTGCTTTTTGTCATGCTGTCTTGAAATGTGAGGTCCTGATAGGTCATGTTGAGTTACATCATACTTCATTATGAGTAAATGGAACATAACATGGAACATGCAGTTTGATGATTATCTGAATTATATCAGAGCAGTTTGGCACATCCTGTAGTTCATATGACTGGAGAACTTCGCTGGGCAGTTCCCAGTAGCAGAAATTTTGTTTTATAAGATACATTTTGTGTATTCTTCATCCAAAGGAAATAACAGATTTAGGACTCAGCAAAGTGAAAGATAAACACAGGCAGCCTAAATTACAGCAGGTGACCAAGATATAACCAATTTTTAAAATTGTACAGTTAACTAAAGAATTGCTTTCCTGTCAACATCTAACAATATGATATAGTTCCTCTCAGTAACACTCAGAATCTGGGCCAGTATTTCTGAAGAGTGTCTGTAAGACAATATCCCATGTTTGCTTGATTTTTGGTATCCAAGACTCCCATAATTCCATTTGGAGTTCCTGCATCTGGAATAATAGCAAGATGCAGCCTTATACTCCAGATCCATATTGCTTCATATGGAACGTAGAAAACTGCTTTGTGTATCATTTTTAAATAGATCAGAAATGACTTTTATGAATTCAGAACAAAAAGGATTCAATGTAAAACTACAGTTCAGATTTTGATTGAAGAGAAGTCGGGGAAATTCAGGGTGAAGGGTTCACCACAAAAATATTTCTGCCCCTTTATGTGTATTGATACAGTAGAAACTCAGAATTATGAACACCACAGTTATAAACTGACTTGTCAACAGCATACCTCATCTGGAACCAGAAGTATGCAATCAGGCAGCAGAAGAGAAACACATACACACACCCACACTCCCTGAGGTGAAAGGGGGTGGGTAAGAGGTGGCCGCCGGTACAGGCCCGTACACAGCCGACGTTAAACTTTGACGTCCCCCTTCTTCTCCCTCCCCCCACCTGAAGTCGGTGGTCCTGCCTGTAGGGTCCTGTTGTGGCAGCGTTTTAACGTCACTGCCCCTCTTGCCCTCCCTAGGCTGCCGGGGGGGGGAAGGGGCGGAGGGGGAGGGCAAAAGGGGAAGCTTGCTCAGCTGCAGCAGCTGGAGCCCCATGCCCTTTAAATTGCCACCGGAGCCCTGGGTGGTGCGGGCCGGGCAGCGCTGAAGGGCTGGCTGGGGGAGGCTGACCCCAGCCCCGCCCCTTCTGCCCGAGGCCCCACCCCTTCCAGGGGCCCGGAGCTAGGCCCTGTACCAGTAAGACTTTAAGTTACTTTCACCCCTGCCCCTGCTCCAACCCCCAAATACAGTACAGTACAGTGTTAAATGTAAACTACTAAAAATAAAAAAGGTGAAGTTTTTTAAAAAAAATTGACAAGGTAAGGAAACAGTTTCATTTAAATTAAGATGGTTAAAAGCAGCATTTTTCTTCTGCATAATAAAGTTTCAAAGCTGTATTAAGTCAATGCTCAGTTGTAAGCTTTTGA